TCTTGCGTGGCTATCAACGAGGAGCGATCGACCTGGCCGGCAGCTGCTTTGTGGGCACGAACCCCAAGGAGAGGAGTGCTCCTGCAGGCTTTCCTAGCTGAGGTGCTCATCCTTCAGACTGGCGCTGGTGTCCTGCTCCGTCCTAGGGTGGCAGCTTCGTTCCTCTTGCTGAAGCTGCACTTGGAATGGCCAACCGAGGAGAGTCTCCTACGGCCCTGGCTGTGAGACCTGGGGGTGCGGTGGCCCCTCTCTGGTGACATCCAGAATTTTTCAGGTTTTCCGAACCTCGAGAGCACTCAGGCTAGGCTGTGTGCTAGGACATCTCATCATTTTAAGGCTGCTTGTAGAAAAGGTTTTACACTTCATCACTCTGCTGATCTAACTAACCCACTAGCTAATGATGATCAACACCTTCCAGCCAGGATCTCACACTGAATCACAAGCAGTAACTTTATGGTAGTTTTTTATGGAGTGCTTTATATCCCTGGAGTTGCTATGAGTGATACCAGACCCATAAAGTCTGGTATCCTGCTTCAGAGGGGAGTGAAAAAAGACCGCACTTAACCTCGCTGCCTTCGGACCATTGAACATACTGACCCCTGCAAGTGGTCACTCCGTGCCCTGAAGCAAAAGTTTATTACCTTTATTATCTTAGCTGAGATAGCTGCAGAAATTGTCGGCGGTCATGTTATTCCCCATCAATTTTTATAAAATATATCCACCCCGGGTGTTTGACCTCACGTTTGCTGCGATAAAGGGCAGGGAAGGAGCACGTGCGGCACTGGGGAGGGCACGCGGTGGGATGCACTCAGAGGTGCGCAGGGGCTGGGACGGCTGTGGCATGTCAAGGGCACCGCCATTCCCTCCTCTTCCTCCTCCTGCGGTGGCTGTTTTGTGGGGGTGGCATGGCCCGTGAGGGGCTGGAGGGCAGGGCTGGGTGCTTGTCGGGCTTTGCCCGTGATTTCTGAGAGAGCAGAGCTGCAATCGCCAGCTGCAGCCCGAGCTGGTCCGTGGGCTGAGCAGAGACACCCGGGCAGGGTGAGAGGGAGCCGGACGCAGGCCAGTCCTGCAGCCTGGCTCTGCGCCCGACCTAATTAAGCCTTGACAGGAGTCAGGACTTATTAGCCTGGCTAAGGGTCTGAGTAATGCATCTCGATTGCATCCAGGCATAAAATGGCAACTCCTTGTGGCGCTGGGGCTTGAGTTCCCACTAAATTCACGATCCCTGCACTCAGTCCCATTTCTCTGGGTGGATGTGCCCTGGACTTCAAGGTTAAATTGGGTTTTTTTGGCTGTTTAGGCTGACCCGCTGTATAGCGCAGCGATGCAAACCTGCGCCTTCAGCCTGAGCTCCCACCACCTTCCAGGAAGATCTCCCGTCTTTTCCTGCCGTCTCCGTCCACAGGGATTAGGGATTCAGTCACACTCTTTGTAAGTCGCTGCAATGGTTAATCACCCTCATTATTAAAAACTGTTCTGCCTTATTTCTAGTTTGAATGCGTCTAGCTCCGGCCCCTGGAGCATGTTAATTTTGTCTGCTAGATGAGCGAGTTCTGTGCTATCTTGTGGAGATACTTAATGACTGTGGTCAAGTCAATCCACAAACCTCTCATCGTTAACCTCAGTAGATTGATTTTTTTCTTGCAGTTTTCAGACTCACTTGAGGCTTTGCATGTGTTTTCCTGATCCTGACCGGATCTATCGGCTTCCCTGGGTCTCCCCAGACACAGATGTAGGCTCAGAGGGGCTCAGCTGCGTGCAGGTCTGCTCAGCAACGGGAGCAAGAGCTTCGTGGCAAATTCACGTGAGACTCCTCAGTGCAGCTGTAGGATCCAGCTGCTGGAAGATTTCACTTCAGCTGCTGCTATTTAACATCTTCCCACCGTGTCTCTGGCTCGCAGAGGCAGCATTTCACTGTCAGTCTGTCGGCTACGAAATTCAGCTTCTTTTTACGTGCAGAATGGAAATATTTGTTAAATATGTTTACATGCAAATCTTTTTACATGCAAAATAGGAATATTTATTAAATATTTCCCATGTCGTATTACTCTCCCTGTTCCTACAGGAAGACCTCTTCACCTGCCACGGCTAGGATGCCTTTTCCTAGGGATCTTTTGTTTTCCCATACCCCATCAAGCAGAGAGTTTTATGAAGTGGTTTTCTTTTAGAGGTTGAATTTCAGAATTCCCTGATTTTAGAGGTTACTATGATGCGCTCCTGCCAGCTCTGGGAAGAAACAAATCCACAGCTCCCCATGGTGCCGGCCGGTGCCTCATTCCGGGGAGACAGGGGCAGCTGCCAGCCCAGGGCTGAGGGACAAGGACAGAGCTCGGTCCCAGGCTGCCTTTTGGAGATAGCAGTCAGAAAGAGAGGAGATGCGGTTTGGGGGATGGCAGTCACAGAGAAAGATGCGGTTTTATTCCGGTGTTTGCTGTGGACGCCACTGAAAGGCAGCGAATGCAGAGCTTTGCCACTTGTGCAGCAACGTTTAAAAGGCTTTATTTTAAAAGCGTGATTGAGCTGCGGGTCTCTGAGTGATTTCCCTCTGTTCTTTATTCTACCTCTGATGCTGCTGTTTTCCTCTGCTACCTTAAAAATAACGTAGGTTATCATTCTTGGGCATCTTGCCCCTTTCGTACCCTGTTTCCATCAAACATAACATGCCGCACCTTGGGTCTCGCCGCGCCGTTCGAAAAGCACGCTCGCAGGTACCTTGTTCGGCGCAGCCTCCCCGTCTGTAACAGCGCACAGTTTTGGTTTATGTCACTTCTTACGAAATACCACAAAATGCTTTACAACGTGCATCAATCCGTATGGCAAGAATAACTCTTTTTAAGAGCTGTAATACAGGCCGTGTTTAAATAATGCAGTTAAATTGGGAAGACTGAGATGTGGGTGTCTCCCTCCCTCTGAGCGCGGAGCTGGCCATTCGGTATATTGCAGTGCCTCTGTGGTTAGCTCCCAGGGCGCAAACCGTGCCCTGGTGAGCTCTGTGCTCTGCTCTGGAGCCTTGCACTGCATCGTTTCACTACAGCCAGCTGCCAAATCGCGTCCAAGCCGTGGTCCGGAACGTTCTGTGTCCTCTGGTCCCTTCCTGGCTCCAGCTCGGTCTGAGTCCGTCCCCAGCGCTCGGTGGGAAGCAGCACACGGAGATGTGCCCAGAGGGCTGGCGGAGCAGAGCAAGCTTGGGTAATTTTGGTTTCTTGGGACTAGGGAACAGAATCGGCAGTTGGGGCATGGGGATAACGGCACTGCTGTCCCCCACGAGCAGTTCTTTGGGTCTCAGCAGGGAAGAGCTGTGCCCTTGGGCAGCGCCTGCTCCCCCGTCATTGCTGGAGCCTGTTTAAGACAAGCTGGGAGACAAATCCCAGTCATGCTTTCCTTACATGTCCCCGTGTCCCACTGGCATGCGTCCTTATGAACATCCTGAAATAAGAGCTTGGTTCATCCCTTACAAGGTCTGGGTGAGATCTGAAGCCCCTGCAGATCACAATTCAGAACAAAACCCACAAAATTCCTCCTCCTCGCCCTGTCCCCTTTAGCCACTGCTGAAGTGAAGCGGATTAGTCACCCTGCCCACTTGCACCCATATTTCACGTTTACTGATGGGCACTTCAAAACATTTCAGGGTGCAAACACCCTGGGAGTCTGTTTTCCATGGGCTGTGCTCAGCACAGGCTTTGCTCCAAGGTTCCTGGCATTTGCTTGGACTCCAGGGGAGGCTGGGCAGGTACTTGGGAGTGAGACCTGTGGAGGATCCACGCCACAGCGGGCACAGGAGATCCCCAGAGGCGAAGATAGCCGGGAGTCAGCACAATATAGGGAGAAAAATCCCACTGATGGGACTTGCTTGTCCCTGAACCTCCTCCTGTGGCTGCTGCTTTGGACACTGCTTCGGGGAGCATCGCCGCACCAAGCTGGTGCCCGCAGCGGAGGGACAAAACAGCTGGTCCATCTCCTGGTGCCAGCCAACCACCAGATATCGAGTCCAGTCCAACCAAGGAGGTATCCACTATTAAAATGCTAAGAATTATTTACTTAGCCAAAAGGCCAGGCAACGCTGGACCCTTGGTCTGAAGCAAGGCGGTCACTTTTGTGTTCTGTGAGCCAGATCCAGCCCGTGGGTGACTACATTTGATCCTCTTGGCCTCAAAAGCCATTCCTTATCTTCCAGAGAAGCCTAGTGCAGTGGTGTTACTGGTTTGGTGAGCATGCTGGCAGGGTCTGAGGCTGTTCGGAGGGGCTGAGGGGCTGAGTCGCCCCTTGGGTGGCTGTGGGCATCCGTGAGGGGTAGGAGGCATCAGCAGCTCTGCAAGGCAGATTGGCATCTGTCCCGAAGAAGGGAGGTGCTGTTAGGACTGGGAGTTTGGGAGGTAACGGGGTGTTTCCGTTTCCAAATCTTCCTTGCCTTTTGTAAAATTTTCCATTGGTGCCTTAACCAGGATGCCCTTGGATATCGCAGTCCAGAGAGGCACAGCGATAACGAGCTGTCCTTCCCCAGCCCTTCTAGACTTGCACCAGTCCAGAGCTTTCGTGCCCTTCAGTCACCTCCCTCTTTCCATTCCCACGCGAGAAATAATGCATAAACCTCTTAAAACCTGCTTTTTTGCAGCAAGGTTGCACTTGCGAGCTGGCAACACAGCATGTCTCTCACATCCAGCCCCTGTCGCTCCATCCCTCCATCCATCCGTCCATCCATCCATCCCTGTCCCCCCTCCCTGCCGTCTCCCTGGCAACGCTGAGTGCACATCCTGGAAAACTTTATCCGAAATCTGCTCTGGGCAGCTTTCCAAATCCATGCTAACCTGATTAGGTGTCTCTGGGGCCTTGGCTGGCTAATCAAATTAGATAGCACTAATGGTAGCGAGGACTTTGAGTGGGTAGAGAGCAGTAAAACATAGCGTATACTTAGTGATAATTATACTTGCTTTTGTGTCATTGATTTATATGCCTTTCCCTTCCCCCCCCCGCCTTTTTGTTTTCGTTGTCTTTAAATGCAGCTATTCGGAGGAAGGAAAACGGCTGGTACGATGAGGAGCACCCGCTGGTCTTTCTTTTCTTGGGATCATCCGGAATAGGTAATGTTTGGGTCGTGGTGAGAGGGACGGAGAGCCCCGTGGAGAGGCTGGGCTGGGAGCAGGGGCTGCGGCAGGGCTGCTCCTCGGGCTCAGCGCCGGCCCGCAGCACTTTTCGCAGGCTCTGTGTAAAATACCAGTTAAAGGTGCTGTCTTCCTTCCAACCGGTCCCCCAGTCCATCGTCCTGCAGGGCAACTGCTGCCAGGCGCCGGCACACCCAGCCACCTCGCGCTGAATTATCCTGGGGGACCATCTCTCTGCCCTCCAAGCCTCGAGACAGGGCAATTTTCACAATAAAACTGTTATTTTAACAGCCCGGTGCTTTCCAGTAGGAATGCCTCCGTCGGGGGGTAATAGTAGAAATTTGCTGCTTGCAAACCAAATCTCTGCTCATCTTGCTCCTGTGGGCAAGGATTGCTTTGTAATGACAGGATTTTATTGACACCGATAATAGTTGTCCTCAAGCACAATAAAATGCAACGTGACAGCTGATCAGTTCATAAAATGGTGTCACAAAATGACTTTTAGTCAGAGAGGGGAAAAAGAAAAAAAAAAGCCTTTTTAAAGTAACCAAACTGTGACATTTGAAACAACCGCGGTGGTGCCCCTGCAGCCCCTGACTCGGCCGTCCTTGGGACGATGCCGGGGCTGGAGGGGGTCAGGCAACGGGAGGGACGCAGGGATTGCTGCCTGGCCGGGCCTCTGCCTCCGAGCAGCGACGGGCCAAGTATTAACTCTAAATGAGATGGCTGCTGGGCCGGCCTTCGGCCTCAGAGCAGCGGCGGGCCGAGTATTAACTCTAAATGAGTTGCTATGAAGCCATATAAAAGCAGTAAGAAATTTTTTTGAGACTTCATTGCAGTGCTTATAGCAGGTCTTGAAGAGTCAGTAATATAAATTGTCAGCTCTTCAACTCCCATGTATTTCCATGGTTTGGGGTTTGGGTTTTTTTTCCTTCTTTTACTGCCATAAAAATGAATATTGAAATAAGAAAGCAAAGCAACTGAGAATTTTATTGTCTCAAGTGGGTATTTTATATAGGTCTTGATGTAACAACAATCTGAAAGCCCAAATATGTGCAAACTGAAATATCCAACGTGTCTGTCAACATGTCAGTAGATTCCCACAGCAGTTAAGCACTTCAAAGATCCATTCATCTACATGTACAGGTATACACTGTGTATAAGTACACACATATACCTATATGCTCACACATCAGGATCTACGATACAGCATCATCCGAAGTCAGCAAAGCTGGAACTGAAATAAGATGCTACGTTTTGGCAGAGCCTTCACCAGCCAGAGCAGGCTTCCGAGCACAGCGATGAGTTCCCATTTTTGCAGCCCTTTTGTGGGGATGCAATGAATGATCCCGCAGATCGGCCCCACCGAATCGATCAGCACTGAAACGGCTCTGTCCGCGCGGGGCGGGGGCAGATGGGTAATGCTGCCCTTTTGTAGCTACTTTGGGTTTTAAGACACAAATTTTTTTTATTTAGAATAGTTGGCATATCTGCGTGCCTGCTCTCTGCCCTAACGTGTCAGGGTGTTTATTTTTCGGTGCGCAGTTAAGTCGAAACTGGATACATGTGCAGTGCAGAGAGCACACGGGCTCCAGACGGTGCGTGAGGTTCTCGTGTTAACCCACAGAGCATCCTCTGTGGCTGTGAAAGGCTGCACCTCGCCTTCGCCCATGATCCCAGGAGCCGAAATCAGCCAAATTCCCCACCTGATAAAGCGGAAAACCCCAGCAATTACGGGCCAGTGGGTGGTCACAGGGAAGAGAGGTTTGCTGGCAGAGCTAGGGATATTTCTGACACGGGTAGAGCCTGCCTGTTCAATGGAGTTTTTCCCTGAATGGATGGGTTGGGAGGACAGGGTCTGGCCTTTTGCGAGCTGGGGTGTGTGTTCATCCATGTCAGTGTGGATTTGCTCCATTACTGATTGTTCCTAATCCTAGAATTTTATGACAGTCACCTTATATAAATCAAAGAAAGAAAGAATATCCCATTTCCCTGAAATTCTTTATCTAGAGAGTAAAAGACATTGCACATGAAACTTAGAATATTGAGAATAAATGTAGAAAAATTGGATCTAACCACACATTCTTGTGGGAAAAAATAAAGATCTCTCTGCCTGTCGTGTGAGAATCAACTACTAAAAATGAAGCAGCTGGTGCGGAGATACCGCTGTCCTGATGGACCCCGTAAGTGCTGCCGGGCTGTGTCTGGCCCAGGGCCCTCGGCAGGGTGTTCTCCCCAGGATCCGACAGTGATACCCTCTTCCCACGAGTGCATTTGCAGAAAAAAATACGTGTGTTGGTTACAGGGGCTGCTGGCCCTGGCGTTAGCACAGATGGTGGACAAACCTGGTTTAACACAAATCTTTTCTTCCTGTCTTTGGAACAGGTAAAACCGAACTGGCCAAGCAGACAGCCAAGTACATCCATAAGGATGTCAAAAAGGTAACGCCTCTTCCCTTCACTTTTTGCCATCCGCATGCTTTTAGGAATGGGGTGAGTTTGGTTTCTTGGTGGCAGGGTCGTTGTCTGGCTTTGCTAGGCTGGGCATCCAGCTCACCGCTCAGCCCAGCTGCATTGCAGCACGCGTAATTCGTCCGTAGAAGAGAAATGCGAGGTCTGTGCGCACCGAGGAAAGGCCACTGCTGCCTTAAAGTGAACCTGGGAGGGCCCTGTCTGTGTTACCAGTGTCTCCGAATTGTAGAAATCCCAGCGGGTGTAGCAACACCTTGTGTTCCCCGTTGGAGGCTGCTGTCATTTTGACATCCTGTGTCGTGAACGTATTTTTTTGCCTCTCTTACTAAGAACGCTGTAAATTTTTAGAAGGATAAAATTCTGAAAGTCTGTTTTACATGTCCCTGGCTGCACCACTTCTCGCATCATACCAGTATGGACGGTGGGGATGGTGGCATTGATTTTGTGCTGAGTTCTTAGTGCTCAAATGTTTGGGATCCAAACAGCAGAAGCTGCTTGCGTGGTTTGGTTTGTTACCCACTCGGCAGCTTTTAGTGAAGATGGGTTGGAATTATTTCTAGGTGGTGGGGGCTTAGTAGAGGGGTAGTTCAGGGAAGTCTGAGGTTTTAAAACAGCAGGCGTTTGAAGCCAGACTCCCCAGTTCCCATTGAAGCCTCTGGCTGCCTTTGAGAGGTGCCCAGCTCTCTCCCACGGAGAACCGGGGAAGGCGCAGAGGTTGGAGCCAGGGAAAGGGAGGAAAGAGAAGCAGAGCTGCCCCCCGCGCCGACGCTAGATTAATTCCTCTCCCCCACATCCTCCAGCAGAGGATAGACCCGAGATAAAATGACACGTGTAGAAAGAAGATCAAAAGTAAAACGAAGCTATAAAAATGGCTGTTCTGGTTTCTTTTCCTCATCCTTCTGTAATTGCCTTCCAGAAGCAATAAATCCCAGCTCCTGAGTGTCAGGCACCTTCATCCCTGACTCCCACACCTGGAACTGGTCAATGCCCGGCCAAACATCAAATGGAAAAAACAGTTAAACACTGAATGTTGTGTTAATTCAATAGCATGCACAAATCGGAGCTTTATTGGTAATGAATCAGCTTGGCCATCAGTGCTGTAACGAGCGGTGTGAGGGGGGGCATCATAAACCCCATGGGCGGTGATGGGGGTGCAGCAATTCGCAGGAACTGACGGATTAAGAAAGGAAAACCCATAACCATCCCATTTCCATACTGCCAGAGAGGCTGCAAAGTAACAACAAACGCTAACCTCCTTATCCAGCTTGTGTGGCACGAACGGAGACAGGAGGATTGGGAGCAGGATCCGACCAAGCAAAGCAGATCCTACAGAACCCAACTCCGCTTTGGTTGTGCCGGCTCTTTGCCAGGACACTGGCGGGACGCTCCTTGGCCTGCACGCCGCCGGGATCGGGCCCCAGTTTTGTACACCTCGCTCTGCCCTGGGCAGTTTGTTGGTATTGTAGTATTTTGCAGGGAAATGTGTTGTTTTGAATTGAAACCTGTCCTAAACTGACCTGAACTCTTACCACCGCCCCCAAATACCAGCATTTCCCGGGAGAGTGGCAAAGTAGGTGGATCCTCCTGCTTTCCTCCGTCCCTTGGGAGCTCATGGCAGCACTGTCTTGGTTTGGTGCCCCAAGGCATCACCTGGGACCAGAAGAACTCCGGGATCCCTGTGCGTTGCCAAACGTCCCATCCGTGAGCTCTGAAGTAAAATATTCAAGGCCAGGTTGGACGGGGCTCTGAGCAACCTGGTCTGGTGGGAGGTGTCCCTGCCCAGGGCAGGGGGTTGGACCAGCTGAGCTTTAAAGGTCCCTTCCAACCCCACCCCTTCTGTGGTTCTGTGGTCCCTGTGGGGCTGTGTCTGTGCGTGTGCTGTGTACACGTGTACGGGTGAGATGCATACACAGACCTGTGTCTCCTCCTGCACAGTACCTGTTGGTGTTCCCGGTCTGCATGTCCTCCCACCTCCGTTCGCTCTTCCCAGTAAAGACCTGTTTCACGTGGGTCTCTGGCTGCTGTTGGTGGATAACATTTGTGTTGGCACATTTGCAGCCAGGCTGTAAGGGCCATCGGCAGCCCGGGATCGCTGCCGGATCCTGCCTGGGAAGAGCTAGGCACGGCGGAGCAGGGAGGTGCAGGCTCCGATGGGCGGATGCCGATGGGGAGCGGTCGTGTCCAGCTGGCCGTGCCTGTGCTGATGCCGGGAAAGTTCCAGCTTGCCTTCCTCTTAGGCAGTCGGACTAGACAGTCATTGTAGGTCCTTTCCAACTGAAATATTCTAGTCTAGGCTAATCTATTCCATTCCATTCCTATTCCTATTCCTATTCCTATTCTCTTCCTCTTCTCTTCTCTTCTCTCCTCTTCTCTTCTCTTCTCTTCTCGTACCTCTAGGAGCCAGATTATAGCTGCAAGCCCAGGAAATTCAGTGTCTGCAGTGAATCAGCAGCTTTTCAGATGCAAAAAGGAAACTTGGGTAGTAGCTGTAAATTCTCTGACAATAGTATCTGTGTAAGGTGGTCACCCACGAACCTAGTTTACTTTGGCTTTACGATTTTGATTTTGATTTTATTTTTGCAGAGAGGCATTGTGTTCTTTTTGTGATTTATTTCTAGAAAGCCGAACCGCAGGAATATCCATTTTATTTAGCAAATTGTACATTGCTGTTTCAGTCCCATCTGTATCGCTCTGGCTGTAGCGACGAGCAGATCATCTGAAGTGAATCTTGGCCGGGGGCTGTGAGCTGGCAGCGGACGCTGTTCCTGGCTCTCTTTGAGAAACTGCAATCATCTTCCTCTTCCTCAGAATAACTCTCAGCATTTTGTGGTGGGCCTGGCCACCCCAGTGCCAGCAGTCCTCGGGAACCACAAAGCCCTCTGTTCATCCGCGCAGCCTCCTGCCTGGTTTGGGGGGAGCCTTTGAAATGTAATGAAACTTGGAGCGCATTGATCAAATATCATGTTAAGTGTTTCTTTCTTTTGCAGGGTTTCATCAGACTGGACATGTCAGAGTTCCAGGAGAGGCATGAGGTTAGTAAACAGGCTGTCTCTTCTTCCAAGGGGTGCAGCTTTGAGTTTAACGGGCAATTTAAACAAATCCTGTCAGTGCCCTCATTCCCCTGCGTTTGGTCCCTGTCCTGGGTGGTGCTGAGCATCTCCCCGCTGCCCGTGAATGGGACAGTCACCTCCTGGCTGGATGTGATCTCGCCCTGGCAGTGGCATCCAGGACCTGCCCAAATGACTTCCACATTCTCCGGAAAACGGGCGGTTTGGTGTGTCAAAGACACAGAGCAACAGCCGTTGCTCCGGGCTGTGCAGTAAATTGCAATATGGGAAATACCAGCCGAAAAGCAAGTTTGACTCCGGTACGTCAGGAACAGAGACCGAGGAGCAAGAAAAGCTTTAGTCATTTGTGTCTGATGCTGTGGCTTCTGTACACAGTGTCGACCCTTGGGGGAAGAGCGACTGAGAAGAGATCATGTTGTGCAGGACAGTCCACAGCCTGGGCACGAGCCACGTGCTGTACATCACCCACCCGTGCCAGGGCTCTCTGTGGACCCGTGCCCAGGCAGGCACAGCTCAACCCAAAGCTCCGTTCCCTTCCTTACCTCCGACACGTTGCTGAGTCCGGTGCGGGGTCACCGCCTCAGCCTGCCTCCCACGGGGGTGATGGGGAGAATCCAGCAGAAAAGAGGACCGTGGTGCAGAGCCCACCCCTCCCCTCACACCTCCTGCCCAATTCTGGTGCCACAGGAGAGATGGGACATCTCGCCAGCGTCACCCCCAGAGCTGGGGGGACCTAAATCCCTTTGGGGGGCTCTGTCTCCCCAAAAAGCGGCAACATCCTAGCTGAGATGGTAGGTTCATAATATTTTTCTTTTGATGGCTCTGTAGGCGCCTTATATTTTTTATTGATGCCATTGGTGAGGTGCACCCAAATCCAGAAAGCACAGGATGAGAAATATCCCATGAGGGATCTGAGGATCATCCCCATAAATATTGGAGCTGCTGCGTTGTTTTACTGAGACAGGGAGGAGGAGGAGGAGGACTCGCGGGCTGGGACCTGGGAAGATGGTGTCTTGAAGGAGAGGAGGAGGAAGGTCCTGGGTAGGTGCTCAGAAGGACAGGTCCAAGATGAGAGTACCATTTTTTTGCATTTCTTGCTGCCAAGGGCTGCAGCCAGCCTCTGCCCCATACACAGCAGGCTGCGAGCGGGCGGGGGTCAGGCAGACCCTCACACTCGGCGTGTGGGGCTGTGACAGGGGCTGTGACAAGGGCGGATTCGTGTATTGACCTGGCACCAGGCAGTGGCAGCCTCAGCATCATCATCAGGAACTGCTGGGCCCTTGAATGGCCAGGGCTAGAAAAGGTCCAGAAAATGTGTTATTTTATCCAAAGCAGCAAAGTGTAGGGGTGTGGGAAGAGAAAATAAAGATATGCTTGCAGCTGGCCTGATAGATTGGTTATGATAGGATGCTACACTGTAGGAGTCAAAAATAGACAAAAATAAAGCCATGTTGATGATTCAGTACAAAGAAAGAGGAGTTAGGAGTTAGGAGTATAAATGTGAGACATAAAATACTGCGCCCTGACAAAGACAAGAGGCAGAGCAAAGGGAAAGAATAAAGCAGAGAATTGCAGCGAGACCAATATATATTTTTCAAGCAAACAAGGATCAGGAGGTCAGCCCAGGAGACAGCATCCTTTGGAGGAGCCTGCAGAGCCTCACGTAGCCCCAGACGCTGCAAAACAAATGCACGGAATTAGCTGCAATCAGCTAATTTCTGCTTTCCCGTTCCCGAGTCAGCAGGACCCCCCTCACCTCCGTATCGTGTCCGTGGGAGCGGGCAGGGGCGGCAGCGGCGGTGCAGGGCGGCTGTGCTCGGGGAAGGGGGATCGCAGCTCTACCTGGGCAGCCTGCCCAGGTCGCTTGGCAAAAAGGAGCCGCTAGAATGGGAGAATGACAGAATCACAGAAGGGTTTGGGTTGGAAGGGACCTTAAAGCCCACCCAGTTCCAACCCCCTGCCCTGGGCAGGGACACCTCCCACCAGACCAGGTTGCTCACAGCCCCATCCAGCCTGGCCTTGGACACTTCCAGGGATGGGGCAGCCACAGCTTCTCTGGGCAACCTCTGCCAGCACCTCACCACCCTCATTCATCGTGGCCTCTTCCCAAGCTTTGATTCCCCACCAGAGCCACCAGCCACTCATAATCCTTTGATTTCTTGTTCTTAAAAAGGCTAAAGGAGGTGAAAATAGGTCTTGGGCAGCTGGGATGGGTCGTTCAGACACTGTTTAGAAAAGTAGGGGTGGTGCCTGTTTGCCTGCCGGTGGCTGCTCCTACAGATGCTGCTGGTCAAAGCTCTGAGCGAGGTAATTGCTCAGCAGCCACCAATCTGCATTTTGCCAGATTGATGCTGATTAAGCTGATTCTGGGATACCTGGGCTGCAGTAGGTGTCACAGAGAATACAGAACTTGATTTGTCTGCAGCAAGGAGTCATAGCTGCCTGCTGAGCTACCGAGAGGGCTTCGTTCTGGCATCCGCGGATCAGCTCTCATGTGTCCTGTTGCTTCCTCCTAGGTTGCCAAGTTTATCGGCTCTCCGCCTGGCTACGTGGGCCATGAAGAGGGTGGGCAGCTCACCAAAAAGCTGAGGCAATGTCCGAATGCTGTGGTGCTCTTCGACGAGGTTGACAAAGCCCACCCGGATGTCCTCACCATCATGCTGCAGCTGTTCGATGAGGTAAACCTGCGTTTCAGGGTCAGAGTTTGCACAGCGGCTGTTTGGAAGATGGCAGTGAGCGGTGCAAGGGACAATGGGTGCAGGAGATCATAAAATCATTCAATCACAGAATGGTTTGGGTTGGAAGGGACCTTAAAGATCATCTCATTCCAACCCTGCGTCCCACCAGACCAGGTTGCTCACAGCCCCATCCAACCTGGCCTTGAACATTTCCAGGGATGGGGCAGCCACAGCTTCTCTGGGCAACCTCTGCCACGGCCTCACCACCCTCACCGGGAAGAATTTCTTCCTGATATCTCATCTAAATCTTCCCTCTTCCAGTTTAAAGCCATTACCCCTTGTCCTATCACTCCCTGCCCTTGTCAAAAGTCCCTTGCCATGTCCTGGATGTCCTGGAGCGGAGCTGAAGTGCTCCAGATCAATAGTCCCTTCCAAAAAAGTGTGACCCAGCCAGTCAGCCTCTTCTGCATTTTAACACAAGGAAACAGGATGATGCTGAGGTCTCTTGGTGGAATAAGTGACATCTTTAGGCAAAGAAAAAGCCAGTGATGGGAGGGTTGGAAACTTGGGGAAGCAGGCTGAGAATTGGATTGTTGCATGTCACCAGGAAGGTGTGGCGGTGTCATGAGGGTACTGCCAAGGAGAAGCCACCCCAGTGACAGCTGGGTGTGGGAATAGGTGGGCTGCTGGTCCACGGCAGAAAGCGGGAGTGACAAGAGGAGGCCGGAGGGCAATGGCCCTGTTCCCGTGGTGCCCTGTGCCCACCTCCCGTGTACGCCCCCTCAGGCACGGCGTGGAGAAAATTGGCTCCTAGGTCCCTGGAGCGGGTCAGGGTGTTTCCACATCATCAGAAAAGCAGGTAGTCTGGGGACTTTGTAGTCCATCGATACCCTAACAGATTGTTAACGGCTGGTTTTTAGTTCAGGTCAGTTAATTTATGACTTTTCAGATGGCATGTGATTTCTCTCACACCTTGCCACCCCAAACATAGAATCACAGAATGGGTTGGCTTGGGAGGGACCTTAAAGATCACCCAGTTCCAACCCCCCTGCCCTGGACAAAACTCTTCAGCTAACTACCTAGGAGGAGCCTGGGGCTGCTTCCCAGGACTTCGGCTGTCCTCAGAGGAAGCCAGAACACTCTTGGAGATACCTGGGAGGAGTCCTGAAGAACTACAGCATGGACCTGCCTTAACATACACAAAACTCCTTGGGTGGCTACCTTGGAGGAGTCTGGGGCTCCCAAAAGCATCGTGTGTGCTGGGTTCCCCGGCCCATGCCCGGTAGCTCTCCGGGAAAACTGCCAGTCATCTCCAGGGGTACGTTGACCTCCTCTGGAGACAGCGGAAGCCCCAGGCAGAAGCCCCAGACTCCTCCGAGGTAGCTACCCAAGGAGTTCTGTCGACGTTAGAGGCAGGTCCATGCCCGTTAGCTCCCCGACGCTCCTCCCGGGCATCTCCGTTCATTAAACCACCCGATCCCGCTGGCAGTGGGCCGGAGAGCAGACACCCGCTGTCGGAGGAAGGGAGCACAAAGTCCGTGACTTTGGGCTCCTTTGCTGGTCCCTGGGGCACGCTTGGCACACGACCTTGGGCAACCGCAGCTCTCTTGCATGAGCTGGTGGGAGCCAGGGACAAACGCGAGTCTCCAGGCTCTGCATCTTCCGCGCACCCCTCGGGCTGTTGCAGCCAAGCTTTTCTGTTTATTTTTGAGGTCCCAGTCTGTCCTCAGAGGCAACCAAACTCCAGAGCGATGCACTGGAAGGTTTTGCAGTTTTTTGTTTTTCTTTTAAGGATTAATAACGCAATTTTTTCTTGCATAGATCATCACAGCAGCTAAATGTGAAATCAATTCCTGTACCACACACTTGACAGGGCAATAACCCAAATGTTAATCTCAAGCACCCAACAAGGATTTGTGTCATTGTGCTGGATATCTGCTGCTGGAGACATATCGAGGAAAGAAACTGCCTGGGGAGCTGCTTATTTTTTCCTTATTTTTCTCTCTTTTTTTATTTTATTAATAAGAGAACTAGTACCTTTGAAGGGTGCCTGCCTTCTTTTGGTAGGAGGAGGGTTGATGCCATGGCAATTGGCTGCAGCGGCGGTCGCCCTCCCCACCGAGCGCGGTGCTGGGCTGCCCTGGTTTGGTTTGCCAGGCCATCCCACGGGTGTGAGGGATGCTCTCTATTGCCTCTTGCCATCACGGCCTCTCCGTTGCTTAATTCACTCCGTTACAGCCATAACCCCATTATTTCTGCAAGGTTATTTTGGCTTTGCTTGTTTTCGGTCAGGCCTGCACCAACTGTGCTTCCCCGTGGTGCCTTCAGACCACCACAAAGCCCCCTCCGAGCCCTCCCAGGCGGGTACGGTGCCCGGGGAGCTTTGAACCAACTCGTCTGGAAGGCTTTGGTGAACATGTGGGCAATGTTGCTGGAGCTGTTCAAGGCACTGATGCCTGCAGCTGCCTGCTCTGCCCCCAGAAAAAGCCTGCGGGGGGGAATGTCTCGCCTCTCAGCCACTCCAGCACCCAGCCCAGCATCCCAGCCTAAACCACGACGACGGGCTGGGCTGAGCCCAGAGCCCCGACTGCCTATGAGAGCCCTTTGAACCCACCGGAGGGGCAACAGCCTCGGTTGGAGGGGTGGGACAGAGGCACGAGGCAGCAATAACTTTACCTGTACTCGTGGGGTTCGCCAGAGCTGATGGATCAGACCCAAAGCCACGGCAGGGAGGTAGGCAGAGGATCGAAGGCGGTTGAGTTACATCTCCCAGGGCTGCCGTTGAGCGTGTCCCGGATGGGACAGGCTGGGACCACGAGCAGGAAAAGTTACTGCCGTTCCTCGGAGAGGCTCTGCTGCTTGGCCCTGCCTCCTCCCTGCCTGTGTCCTTGGGCATCCCCTCAAAAATAAATCTGCTGGGGGGAAAAATGGGACCAGTGTTCTCTTGCCTCATGTTTTGGCAATGTTCCTGTGGCACCTGCCCACGCTGCTTGTGTTGACTCGGTGTTGTTGCAGGGCCGACTGACGGATGGGAAGGGGAAAACCATTGACTGCAAGGATGCCATCTTTATCATGACCTCCAACGTGGCGAGCGATGAGATTGCCCAGCACGCTCTGCAGCTCCGACAAGAGGCCATGGAGATGAGCAAAAAAAGGATCGCAGAAAACTTAGGTACTAATCTTTCAATGCCATACTCCAAATCCCTAAAGAATCCACCTCCTTCCTAACACGGCAGGCCCCTCTTCTTCTGTCCGACAGCGGCTCAGCCATCCCTCTGCCAGGGGGGAGCACCCAGACCCTTCGGTTGCCCCCCTGCTGCTTGCCCCTGCAGCTGGTCCACACGGAGACGTCCCCCAGGCTCCGCAGCTTTCGGGCAAGCCCCGGGGCTGCTCCTCTGCCAGAAGGACCAGCAGCTGCCTCCTCTTCTCTGTGCGTGTCTGGGATGTCATGCTGGGATGTCCTGGTGCTGAGAGGTCCCACACCCCGCTCTCCACCATTCTCCCTCCGGTGATACCTCTGCTTTGGGCTTGCCCAGTTCTGAAATCCTCATTATTTGAGGTCACATCCTTCAGAGGGAGATCACATCTTTGGAGAAGGCTTTCTGTCCCACCTCTCAGCCTTCCTCGTCCTGTGCTCTCTTCCCTTCATCTCCTCACCCTTTTCATTCTTTCAGGACCCTTCCAAGTGCTTCCTAGAAAAGACTGGGGCTGGTACAGGTGCTCATATTAAAGAGGAGGAGTTTTGTTTCCTTTGTTGGTCCTTCCAAAAAGGACTGAGCTTAATCAATTTTACTTCACTTTGGAATGGGAGCCCCGGACCCACACATCAGGGTCCTGTAGAAAATTTTCAAAACATGTGAATTACGTAATAAAAGGAGAATTGAGTAGAGTAAGGGCAGCCTCTAAGATTTGAACCAAACAAGTCTGCTGAAGGCAGCAGCATCCCAGTTTATGTGCAACCCTCCACCGCCTTCCCCAGCCAGGTGGTGATAACTCCAGTGGCCCCAGTAGGCCCCAGTGACTGGTAGGTCTCTGCTGTGCCGTCCCCTCTGGCTGTTAGACATGCAGCGGTTTGTGAGCACAGACACCGGCCCAGGGAGCACGGGGAAAGGCGGTCTGTGTCCCTTCCCGCTGTGCCTGTGGGTAACCAGGCAGCCGTGAATGATGGCGACATCCCTTGTTTTCTCATCAGTTTTAAAAAACTCATCAGATTTTTTCTTTTTAAGACCCTTTTATGGTCTTAAATGTCTGGGCGCTGCATTTTTCATAGGCTATCTAGCAGCGTGTGCCATCACAGATACTCCGTATTTCCTAAAGGTCAGTCTCGAGAACTGTGGTCACCGGTGGAAATGCCCGGAGAAGCTGCGGTGTGTGGTGTGCGCTGCGGCTGTGCCCAGGGAACAGCCCTCTGCATCAGCTCCATGGGAGCAGGAAAAAATGTTGGGTTTTGCCGTCAAATGTATTTTCCAACTTCTCTTTCACTGTCTCTTCCTTTTTATTCTGAGAAGTGGATGCCACAGCTGGCTTAATTCAGAATCTTTAAATTTCAATCAAACTAGGTAAAGGACAAAGCATGCCTGCAACTGAACTTTCAAGAATAACATTTTAAAATGCCAAGCACTTTTCTGCTAAATGAGGAAAGCATTGAATTTTAATTTCTAGAACTGTATGGCAGACAGCTGCAGTGAGCAAACGGCGGTGAGAGGGCACAGCCGGAAAACGCGTTTCGGCTCAGAATCCTGCCCTCAATTGAGTTTCCTGGAGCTCCTTGCAATTTATGGAGCTCTTGGCTTGGAGATGCTCTTGGAGGCAGCGGCCAGGAGATCCGTGTGAGTGCCTGGGGGGGCAGATAAATGGAACGATAGAGGGAAGGAGCTGCCTCCACAGCATCTCTGCATCTGCGAGTGGAAGCAGCGGTGATGACAGGTGGCAAACCTGAATACTGGGGGCAGCTCTGTCTCTTCTGCCTGCTCCAGCTTTCCTCTTCCAGACTGCCGTGCCAAAGTCCTGTTACTTTTCGAAAAACCCTTTAGTGTCTGTTAGCAGAAAACAGAGAAGTGAAGTGGGCCGAATCCTTATAACCAAAGACCCCCGACTCCATTTACACCCCGTGGCCGGGCTGTGCTGTCCATCTCCCCTGCGCTGTGCAGCAAACTCCCCACCCAGGACGCACCCCAGCACCCTCAGCATCCTCGTCTCTGCAGCGACGGGGAAGGAGAAGAGGTGATTTCAGAGGGCTCAGCACCGTTCTCTTGCGTACCAGTACCAGCGTTGGTCTGGTGGAGCCTGGGAACCCCTTCTGCCGCTGCTGGGGTGCAACGAAGCTGGGAAGGGCTTCCAGCACCCAGCACCCAGCACCCAGCGTGGGTCTTTCTCCACCGCCCTGCGTGTCAGGATCCCATCCAGAGCACCTCGGATGCAAGGGATGTCCCTGTGAGCGTCCCTGCGTTAAATAGCAGGTGGAGTTAAGTGCGTGAAGGTGTAGGAAGGAATGAGGCGGTAAAGACAAAGAGAAACGTGAATTTGGGCGGCAGACAGGTAAACCCTGCAATTGAGCTGCCTGCCGTGGTTCAGAGCTGGGATGCGGGAGCCAGTCAGACCCTGGCTCCATCTGCAGTCGGCGGAGAGAAGTAGACTCCGGCCGAGCTGTGCTGCAAGCAGTCGGAACGGGGTTTTGGTCTTTGCCGAGGGGACCCAGGACCGTTCCTGAGCCTGGCAGAGCCGTGGGAGCCTACGCGGAGCAGCCCGGGCTGACGATGTGCTCTGTG